TGTACCATTTTCCTCCTATGATATTTTTTTCTTTGTGAAACCGGTACAATGCTGAAATTTCTGAAATAGGAAAATAATAATTTCTATTAATAAAACATTGAACCCAAACAGTTTTACACATTTTCAAAAAAATTTGATAGAAATTAAAAAAATGTTATTTTACATTGATCGCTTACAAATTAAGATCTATTTAAACTACTTTACTCCGTTACTCCTAAATTAATTTCTTTTTAGTCCATCCAAAGGTTGCCTGGAAGAAATTACTTTTAGTAATAAGGCCGCCTATTGTACCCATCACTTATACATTATTTGATTTTTGTTTTTTTTTTGTGTGCAATAAAGTATATTCATTCATTCATACTTTACTTTTCATCAATGGGAGTAACCGTTGTGACTTTAAAAATGGATAATATATTAAATTAAAACAACAGTTAAAACCTAGTTCATTCTTCTAATTAAGGAATTAGTTTGGCATTTTGGCCCGAATGCAAGACGCGGCTCGATCTAAAATGCAAACCGTGAGCCAAGGAATCTCATTAGCGGAACGCTCCCGACTTAAGGAGCGTTCACATAAAGCGAGAAGTGAAGCGAGTAAGAGCGGTTAGAAAATTCACTACTTTTAATTTGACGCGTGCGACAAGTTTTACACTATTCTGGCACTATTTAAGATGTTTGAAGAAAGTCGTAAAATAGGTTTGGAAATAAACTTAATTAAACTAATGTCATGAAAAACCATACTAAAATACCCATATATTTCAAATAGTACATACATACAAACAGTACAACAGTAGATACATGCATTTATCTGGGAAAACAAATTTCATTTAACCAACACAGGAACGAACTGGAAGTAGAGAGGAGTCAACATCACTTGGAAGAAGTTCTGAAGCCTCAAGGAAATGCTTAAAAGCGACAAGCCCATAAAGCTAAGAAGCAGAGCCATGAACACCTGCCTACTCCCCTCACTAAGATAAACAAACCTGGAAATTGACAAGGAAAGTAAAAAATTAGGTCATAACCAGCCAACGAAGTATGGAAAGAAGCATTCTGAAGATTAATAAGATCAATAAAATCCGCCATACTGCTATTAGACAGATGACTAAAGCTATGGACGCTCTCAGTTACGCCATTTCAGCTTTTGTGAAGCTAAAATGGCGATGGGCTGGATGCGTAGCCAGACTTACTGACAATCGCTGGACCACAAAAACAACATCATGGTTAGGACCATCGGCCAAAGAAAAAGAGGCATACCAAATGCGCGCTGGGCACACTAAATTAAAAAAAACTGCAGGTACCAACTGGATGTGAGTAGCAGAGGACAGAATACATTGGTCAACTCTGGAGCAGGCCTTTACCTTTCGTTGAGAGGGGTTCTTGCAATTTTACATTTATAATTATAATTCATTAATTCTACATAGGTAACGGCACATTGCTTTTTTTTTTTTTTTTCAAATTGTCAATGTCTATTGTGTAGCAAGGAATAAAAGGCTTTTATTTATTTTTTTAGAATTTTTGAAATCAGTTTTTTAAAAAACTGATTTCAAAAATCTGGAATAAATAATTCTTTGAAATCAGTTTTTTAAAAAACTGATTTCAAAAATCCAAACTGAAAGTATCTCATTAACTATACACTTTCTAATTGATATAAAGAGTTCAAGGTTCGTAACCAATTTTATTAATATGGGACCACATGGGAGCTAAACGGAACGCATTGCAAAAAGAATTATTAAAACCTAAAATCCGAATTGAAAACCTCCATTTTGAAGTCAGTCGAAAATACCTTGGAAGTTTGTCACAACTGATTATCCGACTAGCGCTTTATTTATATTATAAATAGTAAACAGAAAATAGAAATTTAAATCTAAACTTAGCTTTTTTTTCCCTTTATTAAATATTTTACACCCATACATAAATAAATAACATACATATACGATATCTGTAACCTAGACAGCTAAAACGTTAGCAAAAGCTTTTAGCTCTCCACGTATTAGGAACGAACGAGATAATGTCACAACTACAATGGACAGTACGAAAACAGTGAAGAGGAAACGCTAAAAAAAAGAATCAAATCGGTAAATTGTGTGCTAAATCAGAACAGCGTTACTAAACTGTGTCAGGTCAAATTCAAAAGGAGTAAATATTGCACATATTATTTTCCATTTCTGAATAACTGTGTTCCGAGCTCATCTATGCCCTTACTCAAACACAAATTGTACAAAACTAATATTATACCAAGAATAAGCAACCTGTAAAATGAATGTATCATTAAAGACAAGACTACGGACTTATTTAGAGATAATACAAATACTTTGATAGACCAAATTACCAAGTTATTTAATAATTTCTTTAACTTTCATATTCCATACATTAGTCTGATGAAATTTTACTAGATTGTGAAATTACACTTTTTTAATTATCTTTTTGTTTTTATAGTATACGGCTATTTCCATGTTCTGCCTTCCTACTTAAACTCCTCCACTTTGTCCGATCTTCGACATCCTCAGGGGTCAGTCCATTGGCTCTCAGCTATCAGTCCAAGTGCTGCTTCACGACGTACAGCCATCGCTTCTTTGGGCGTCCAGGAGGTCTAAAGGGGACAGACATATCAAGGCATATCCTTCCAAAATATTTTTCCGCCAGGCGTGTGACGTGATCAATACCATCTCAGGCGCCGCCTTTGGAGCTTATCCGCAACGGCACTTTTTGTTAAGGAAAAAAGGGGCAAACGAGCAGAAGGCTTCCCTGACGGTAAGTGATCAACGCCGCCCGTGAACATCTATAACACCGGAGGGCTTACCAATGCGTTGCCGGCCTTTTAGGAAAGAATACGCTCTCTTCTTGAAGGATCCCAAGTCATAACGGTTCGAAAAGACCGCCGGCTGATGTTGGTTCCACAGAGTGTTTGTGTGTGGCAGGAACTGTCTGGAATCAAACAATTCTTCGGAACACTCCCCGTGATATATACGAAGATACAGAGTGATCCAACATCTCTACACAGAGCCAAACGATCAAGTCGATCAGAAGGACCTTGATCGTCGATAACCCGAGCCGCCCAACGTGGAATACAGTCAAATGGGAGAAGCTTGTACTGGGGGACTCCCGCCCAGAGATGAGAGAAGTTCTCCACGTGGTGCCGAATTTGCGCCTTATAAAGGCTAAGGTGTTGAGCCGACGTGAAGTACTGTCTCGAATACAATATATTAAATTTCACTTAAAAGATTCGGGAGTGTTCAATTCATTTTCAGAGTCTGTTATCATTTATATAATCACTAATACTAAAGTAGCGTTTAACACACAAACGCTCCTATACAAGTTTTTTGAATTTAGAAATTAATTAATTTTGAACAATTCTGGGATTTTGTTGTAAAAACGGATACATTGCCCCATAAAAGGTTTACTTATTCCAATCAATCTAGATGAGGGTAGAGCTAATTTATATTTATTCCTAGTAATTATATCATGTATGTTACTAAAGCTTGAAAATTCCTTTTTATTTTTATTTTCATGTATGTACTGAGAACATGTCCACGTATGCAAGAATCAATATTTTTATTTCTTTAAACCAATTTATTAGTGATTTTTAGGGCCCAATTTATAAACTCTCTTTTGCTGAATGAAGATAGCGTTTATAAAAGTATATAACTCATGCAAAGTGTATTTTCCAACACTGTTTTAATCTGCTCCATCCACATCCTTATCTGCTGCAGTAATAGCATAAATAAAACAATTTAACAGAACCGTTTGTGATGCATCAAAACAAACTATCTGCAGATATCGCATTCACAACTTTTGATTTACTGTATTTTTCCGCTACGCCTCGCTGATATTACGTAAATAGAAAAAATGTGACAAACCAATTCCGCAGAAAGGAAAGCTTATTTACCTGTTTACCAACTCTGACTAGCCCGCCGAGCGAGTTACGTCTACACTATTAACAACAAAAATAAATGAATATTTTTAACGATTTTTAAGAAACATTACACTATATTGCAACGAGAATATTTATAAAGTATCTTACTTGAAACATTTAGCATTTTCATCAAAGTCTAAAATAAATAACATATTTCGTTACATGCTACAAAATATAAAGGACTGTAAAGTTTAATTAGCCGTGTCAAATATTACACTTCAAACGCAATAACAAATTTAACCAAGATTTTATCTTTTAATAAATACTAATATTAGTAAGTAGCAGAGAGCGGCAAAAATCATATCAGTGCGATAATTATATTAAAGTTAACTATTTATTATATGACCTCCGTTATTAATTACATCTAAATCGCTCTCTCTCTCTCTCCCGTGCATTTATTATTCCCACACGGTAGTGGGGTCTGCCTTTCCTGTCATTCGCTTCCACTTCGCTCTATCCATTGCATCGTCATGAGTCACAATGGAGGCGTTAAGATCTTTTCTCAGTACCTCTGTCCATCTTATTTTTGGTCTTCCTCGTCTCCGGGAACCTCGGATGTCCAGATGGTACGCTTCTTTCCCAATGTAATCAGAAGGTCGACGTTGCACATATCCATACCATCGCAGCCTACTTTCCTGGAGCTTGTCGGCGATGTCACGGACTCCGAGACTTCCTCGCACGTACTCGTTACGTATCTTGTCGAGTCTCGTCACTCCGCACATCCACCGTAGCATCTTTAGCTCTGCTACTTGTATGGTATGGACCTGGTTCCGTGTCACGGCCCACGTTTCGCTTCCATACGTAAGAACTGGCCTGATCATGGTCTTATATACTAGCCCTTTAAGCTTGACAGGCATTTTTGGGTCACAGGTTACGCCAGTTACCTCCCTCCATTTAAGCCAGGCTGCTTGAATTCGGTGCTGAATGTTTACGTCCACTTCCCCCGGACTGTGCAACAAATATTTATATTCGTCGCATCTGACGACTTGTTGGCCATCGATGGTAAGTGGGCCGCTTTCGACAGTATTTGGATCATTACACACCATGTATTGGGTCTTCGCAACACTCAGCACTAGGCCACCTGCTCTTAACTGCCGCTTCCACTCTGCAATTACATCTAAATATTACTAACAAAATCCCAGTACTCTCAAATACAAATGTTTGTAACACACATTATTGTCCCGTATTGGGATTGATCCCAAAAAAGGATTATAACAGTGGGCATGGTAATTGATCACTTTAACAAATGCAACAGTCCAGTGAAAGGCATGCTGTAAAACATATTAATAATTTATTTACGGACAACAAAACCGCACCGTTAAAGTAAAGTAACAGCCTATGGATGTCCCACTGCAAGGCAAAATCCTCCTTTGTATCTTGTATTTAACTGATGTTTTTGCTTTCAGTCCCGAGACTATTAAAGCTTCATCTGACACAGAACCGGTGGACTAGCCAGAACCCACGGGTTTGGGCTCTCCGCTGTGTGCAGGTCGACGTTGCGTTGATAGCAATGCGCACCGGTTGCGCGGCGGATGAACTTATTTTGTACTATTTGCAGCTTGTACAAGCGAGTAGGATGCGTGTGGGCGAAGATCATGCATGCGTAGGACATAATAGGTCGTACGCAGGTCTTATATAATAATAATTTGTGCCTTAAGGGCATTTTACTTTTAGCGTTAGTTAAATTGTGTAGCCGGCCGGAGACGAACGCGGCTCTATTACGAACGTTATTTATGTGCGTAGTAAATGACATACGCGAGTCGAAAGTGACTGCTGTAGTATTTGACCTTTTTTGAAATATTATATAGCAGGTATATAAATTTAATTTCGTGATATATTAAGAAATCTCTCTCATTAATCCATACATATTCATGTATATTTATGTATTATATAAAAATATACATAAACAAATACTCAAAAAAATCGTAAAGTATCGTATTGTTCCAGTGGCAAAGTTTGCATAAAATTTGGGATTTATCATATTATGTGACAAATTTTCAACCTTTTAATTATCTTGTAAGTTAATATTACGGAGCTCGCTTAATTGTTAATTAAAATTAAGTTAATGTTATTCCTTCATAAATCTACGTATTTTGATACTATTCTACGTATTTTTAAATTTTGAATATGAATTATTATACCATATATGCTATTCAAAATGTTTGATAGCAAAGTAAAAATAATTATCAACCGTTCCCTATCGTGACCATTTGCAAAGGTCACCTTCTCATCCACCTCAACGAGGAAGGGGACGAAATCATTGACAGGACTGACGAAATCATGATCAGGACGGTCTCAACATGATCGCACCCGATGACAAGAAACATATTCGTAGCATTAAACTTTTTCCTTACTTCTTTTTTTTACCTCGTTTCTAGGGAAAAATAATGTTCGAAATATTCACTTGTTAAGGACGGTTCTCACTGTTGAAAGCCAAAGAATATCACAGTTGACTACCACCACCGCTCTTATGGGACCTGGACCACGCGTAGCCGACAAACCTCCGGTGTGATACACGCATGTCCACATGAGTGTCTCTGATTATGTAGGGTCTATCGAGCTCGTGAAAACTTACTTTTTTCACGGTTTCTGTGCTCGATGACGCTACATGTAGTATATATATATATATATATTTTTTGCGTTGCCACCTTTTAATATAGTGGACCCCGGTGATCTTAATTTAATGAAGAAGTGAAGTTTAACACTTCCACTTCAAGCCGGTCTTCTGTGAGGATGTTGAGTGGTTCGAGCACAGGCTTGCCCTTCGTACAACAGCAAAGACTGCGTGGCCCAATCAGAATACAAATTGTGGAAGATTTTTTTCGAATTTCAATTGCAATATTCACAAGCAATTTGATACCGGCTTACAGAATCCACATTCCAAACAATACATTTACGGCAACGTATTAGTGTTGTTTCCATTTGTAGCATATCACGTAAACTATTACACGTCTGATTAACGTAAACATATTTCAATTTTGATAAATTGATTTCTTCTATGACTGCACTTATGAAAACAGTTTTACATAACTTAATTGCAAATGCCTATTTTTTTATTGTAATTACATGGAAAAAACCTAAAAAAACATAATCATTAAGCAAAATGATAAGGGATCAATTTAGTTTTTCTGTTGCTCCCCCAAGATATTGCCCTATAAGGGGCCACGCCACTCATTTTGTTTAACTGATTTGTTGTAGCTACTAGTACTAAGATGTTTATTTTAAGATGCCTTCAACTCAAGAATATGGGACATTCAAAAATCGTATTAACAATTCTGTACCTCAGAGGTAAACAGCATTATGCGACAAAACACAAATTTTACAGAAGAGGCAAAATGTGTGGAGGAAATAAAGATTGGATATTTTATAAATGCGTCGTAGGACTTAATGCTTTATACTATTTTGTAAGAACTTTTTTCTTGAGATTTTAATAGTGTGAGAATTTTTTTTTTTGAAAAATGTGGAGTTATTATTTTATGCCCCTGAGGTATAACCATTGTATACGTTTTACTAGAAAAATATAAGCTCCTTGTTCCGATATGATTTCTTCAAAAAGTTTCTTAACTAACTTCAATTATTAAAAGAGCGACTAATTTATTGACGAAAATTATACCCTATTCTGAATAGTCAATTGCCCTCTTTTTAGATAATGGTTTTGTCAACAGTAATACATGTAACATAAAACATTATTACAATAAAAAAATAAAGATTATTTTCTAAGAAGAAAATACAACAGTATTTGATCATTTATGACAACGATGTCGAGAATATGTCAGTAGTCCTCTAACATTCATCAAGCAATATTGAACGGTTATGTTTAAAATGTAAACGTAATTTTTACCATTGTCACATTATCACATGATTTGATTCACCATGGACTTTACGAATTATTTAACGTTAACATTAACAAATGCAATCAAACCTTAAATCATAAATTTGATCATCCCTTGCTAGTTTTATATCACGACTGAAAATAAAAAATATATTTATTGCGCTCGAAACTCTAATTCTCATATGAATTGACCTTGCATCTGAAACTTCCAGCTCGTTCTTTATGATTTTTTCAATTAGTACGCAAAAATAATAATTTCTTAAGTATTTGAAGAATATATTGTTTGAAGGATTGTCGGCAAAATTTTCCAAAAAAATTTAAAGTTAAGAAACGCTACAGTGTGAGGTATCATATTAACGCGAGCACTCGACGAATGAAAAGATGTGATGGAATCAAAAACTTTAATAATCAGAATCAATTCACTGGTAAATATTTCTCATGCAATGGTTGTGATTGTGTGATTTTTATAGTTTCACCTTTTTTTGATAAACGAATAACCAAAATTTTGAGCTCCGTCTTTTAACAGCCCAAAAATTTCACCGCCTACCTTTCGCACTCCTCCAAATATTCTTGAAGCTCCATTAACGCCCTCATCAAATCCACTCTTCAATCCTTAGAAACAAATTAAATACTCTTAACAGTGGTGGGACAACTTCTGCTGTTTCAAAAATTTAGTCTCGTCCGAGATAGAACCACAGCCTCGGACAAGATCAGCGTGAAGTAAAAATACAACAATTTCGCGTATGGTGTGGTGTGTAGGACAACAGAAGTCTACATTTTACAGATTGTTTTCAATCTGGTGAACCACCTTCTCTCTTGTCAACTTTTCACACTTTCACATTGTCAAAGGCATATAAAAAAGCGTTATAAACTGGATATCGCGGCTTATGTTCGCTACAATAGACAATTTGCGAGAGCGTTGCAAGCTCTTAAAATTATTTTGAGCCTTTAGTAACCGCAATTGCCGAAAAGAGAAGCAAAATTGCGGAATACTTCTTCTTTACACAGGTCTTCAACGAGATTGTGGCAATTCCCAGGTCAATTAAGCACAGTCATGGAGCAACAGTGTTGTGGCTGTATAATATTCGGTACCATATTATTTTGCATTCTTAACATTAAATAGTTTTCCAATAAACAGACAACCTTTTAGTAATTAATTTATATCTATGGCATATTAGTATGAACAAAAATATCAGAGCGATTATTATTTCGTTACGTTTATGCTTAAGAAATACATAATATACGCACCTAGAAATCTCTTTAACATATTTAATTGAGAAGCTCCATTTCTTTTCATCCCTTCATTATTGGAAGGAACTGGTGGAGAGTCCATATCTTTATTCCCATTTGTTGTAAAATTAAACCAATCAACTTTTGGCAGCCCATATGAATCTTCCTCATATGATTTGAAACCTTCACCATTTTCATTTGCTGTTGTTTTATTCTGCTTATTTTTTTCAGACGAATAGTTCATTAACTCTTCTTGTAAAACATCTTGTAAACAAATGTTTAATATCTGAAAAGGACAATAAATATAAAAACCAAACTAATCATCGTCATGTATCATTGTTCGTATAATTTCCTTCCTACATTGATAACGACCCCAAATTAAATACAGAAACTTAGAACATTAATTCGAATATAAGCAATATTCTTGTATACGTCAATACATGAGGCTTAATGACATTGTCTATATCACGAAAGTAATATCCAAATCTTACAACAAATCGTATAACTAGCCCCCTAGGTTTGAAAGGTGCTCAAGCATCCACTATTTTTCAAAAAAATGTTGTAAATTGCAATTTAAAATTCATAGTTCTAAATTTATTGAAAAAATGAAATGTAATTAAAATTTTAAGATTTAAATAATTTGCGGAAATTTTTTGATGATAATACAATTTTTTATATATAACTTTATAAAAATATGATACGGTTTATATTATAAGACGCTATTAATACGTACAGCAAAGTATAATACAATAACAATCATAATGGCAAACTCAACATGAATATATAAAACGTTACGTCTTATACTAAAAATTACACGCATAATTTTCTGCTTTTCAAGTGATTGGTCATACTTTCCGTAACTATAATGTACAGCGTTTTCACAAAAAGGTATGAAGGTATCGTCAAGCCTAGTAGAATATTTCTAACACAATAAAAATACTACAAAAACAACAAATGTACATATAAAAGTGGAATATTTCTTAATTGCCAAACATCCGGTGCTTTTCTAATGAATAATTTTCTGTCACGCACAACTACTTTGTGTAATTAATCGACAGCCGCGATGTTTCAAAAATATAGACGACTATGAAAATAATTTAGATAACTCCAAGACGCAGTTGCTAAGGTATTGACTTCGGCGTCCGGGGTCATGGATTCGATTCCCACACGGAATAACTATTTGTGTGACCAACAGATAGTTGTTTCGCTTCTGGGTGTTTGTCTGTGAGAAATTTATGTTTGTAAAACGTTCTTACAACACAGGCTAATGTTATCAAGGGCAATGTTTTTAAAACAACAAAAAAATAAGAATAAAGCCTATACTTTTAAAAGAAGTCAACTCTTTACAGCTTCGCTGGTGTTGTTAAAGTTAATGGGCGATCGTACTTATCTTTCATCAGGTCAGATCGGCATTAGAATAGTATAAAATTTAAATTTTAACGGTGTTAGGGCCACGCAGCAGCCTCGGCTGTTGCACGCATGGACAGGCTCGTGCGGGTAAGTACCACGACTTCACAGAAGACGAGCGTAAAGTGGAAGTATAATATTTTCGCGTTTCGTCTGGTGAGTGAGGTAGCCAGAGCCCAATTTTCAAAAGGTTGTCAACCCATCTGCAAACCCTCGGGTGTAGCAGATGTCCATGGGCGGTGGTATCACTTAACAACAGGTCGCTTAGCAACTTTTCACATAAAAAAATGTTTCATTCTGTTTATTTATTTATTGAAATGTTTATCCCCAAAAAAACGCCTCGTACAAAGGCGGACTTATAGCCAAAAGCATTTTCTGCCAGTCAACCGAATGGTTTAAGTTTAGTTACCCTCCGAACTATACGTATGGCAAATCTTATAACATATGCAATATACATCTGTACATATGCAAATCTGTACATATGTTTGATGGACTTTTGGCGATGCGGGATTCGAACCTGCGTCTTACGGCACAGAAGCTTTGCCAACTAAGCTAAACAACCGATGACCTCACGGCGCGAAAATCTCAATGTCTCTAAAGCATTTATAGCATTTTTAGCAGTGCTTGGCGCCATCTAGTGTGCATACTTTGCAATATGAAGCACCATACAAATAACATTTAACTATCAATATTTTTAAACTATCACCTTTGCTCTTAAAAAATGTATATGATTAATTTTTTTTTTACTGCTATTCTCTGCACTCTAGATGAAACTTAGGTGCATAGAGTAGCAGTAATAATAAAATTATTCTGACTGTCTTATCCTACTATAGAAGTAGTTTTCAAAGAAGAAGGAACAAAAGAAATTATATTTGCAGTCAACAAGAAAGACTCACAAAGGATTTTATTTAGCGATTGGGTAAATAAATTATTTACCCAATTGCTATAATTAAAATCTTTGTGAGACAACAAAAGAAAAAAAATTCTGTTGTCTATCTACTTTTCATAATGTGTAGGTATTGCCGCGTGATTTTATAACTTTAATTTATCTTTCACAAATTGTATTTTCAGCATTGGCATGGAAACGAGCGTTCAATAAACAGCTCTATCGAACTTTCGAGATAAACTCTTTAATCCGCCGGCCAACTTTCATGTCCGTACATTGCCATCGGTCGGCTTCTCCCCATCGGCTATAATTGAATCGTATTACGGATTGTATCCAGCTTAAATTTCAGTCTCGATTGACCCAAAAAAGGCTTAAAAAGTACGAATTGAAATTTATCATATGTCTGTTCGTAATATGTATTATCTATATCGCTTGCTACCATTGAATAGTCCTTACTAATATTATAAACGTGAAAGTTTGTGTGTATGGATGGATGTTTCTTACTTTCAAGCAAAAACTACTGAATAGATTTTAATGAAACTTTACAATAATATAGCTTATACATCAGAATAGCACATAGGCTATAATTTATAAAAATATTGTGTGTATTATCCAAAATATTATCAACTATGGTCTGGTGACTGAGTTGCAATCGGAGGACATTTATTCGAATCCTAATGGCATCAATAAAATAATGCTGTTATACGCATAAACACCACTGTAAAACATGTGGGCCGAGTATTTGAAGATTGATGAAAACTGAATAGTGTAGTAAAAGTGATACGTAAATACTTGCAAATAAGTTTCGCATTCGATTTCTGAATTTAGAGATAACTCTGGTTCTTCGGCAAATTTCTTCTGTCACGATTTTATTATGCAAAGAAACTCCATGTAGCTCCCTCCATAGCTCTTTCTGTGACTCTGAACTACTTTTATAGGACAGCTGGCACGGACCACGACATAAGCCTCCATGTCTTCAGGAACTATGGAATCTTTGAAAATATGATGATCACTGCCGGGTTCATTCTTTTTTTTTATTAACGGTGTTCACTATCACGTGCTCAACGGTGAAGGAAACATTGTGAGTAAACCTGCATAATAACAAAAAAAAAATTTCGAAAATATGTGAAGTCCGCCAATCCGCAGTGAGGCCGCGTGGTGAACTATACCCTGATACCCTCTGTACAGAGGAGCCCTTTGCCCAGCGGTGGGACATGTATAGGCTGACACTTTACTTTTACTTTAAGCACCAATCATCTAAACTACCTACTTTGTTTATGAAGCAATACCTTAGCTATATCAAGGGTCAAATGAATGTTCTTCAAAATATTCAATCTAATTCCGAAAGAAACTAACGTAATAAAAGAAACTTTTTAACCGACTTCAAAAGGAAGGGGTTCTCAATTCGATTGGTATATTTTTTAAATAAAGGTTTTTAAATAAATTCCATTTTGTATTTTGTTTTCCACTGTGTAGTTTATGACTTTCCGCGTAATTTAATGCTGCCGAGTAAAAGTGTTGTTCATTCCACACAGTTCAAATACGCCCTAGTAAATAATTTCAATAGATATTCATATACGTATAAATTTGGAATATTGTATGGCACTGCCAGGGAGTCTGAATAGAATCAAAGAAGTTGGAAGATATACGTAATTGTTTCGCATCTGGGTGTTTGTCCGTGTGAAATTTATTTATATATATCCTTGCAGCACAGAACAACGTTATCCTAAAGTTTGGGCAATGTTTAAAAACAAAGTTTGGGCTATGTTTTAAAAATAAAATTTTTACTTCATTGCAGAATCGAGCGAACCTCCGAACCAATAAGTTGCTTCACACTGCCAGTGCCTTGCATTCACGATCGATATCCTCATCATCTTTAAGCGTTATGATGTGCCCAAGGTAGTAAAGCGGTCTACTATTCTAAGGGAAAGAAGCGAGGGGTTAAGAAAACTCAAGGAGGGGTCGAAAGGCCTATTCTTAGGCCACTGATAGAAGGACAACAATACCATGTCATAGACATTAAAAACCCACACAATACCACTTCCGATCGAAACAAACATTTACTTTTTCATTACAAAATAAATCACCTGTGTGATCGTTAAAATCACCATCAATATATTGCGTTAAAATCACCAGGGTGACTCCACCATAAGGCCTTCCACTGAGAAGACCCGTCGATATATTCACAGATGTGGTGTCCGTTACTCCAAGGTCATTATGAATATTATTCAATACAAGGAGTTCATGTGGTAGGAACCATGATTCCTGCAGCTTCATCACATCTCCATCTCGACACAAAGACCTTATATCCTTTATAGATCTTCTTAAGCATTTACAATTAAAATTAATTATTTTAATGTACTGTGTATTTTTGCTACACCAAAGCAACTTTGTATTTGTTAGTACTCGTAAGTTTAGTACAATGTTCATCATAAACAGAATGCTCCAGTCCATTGTTTTGTCACAAGGCTCTCCTCAGGTACACCACAAAACTGAATCTTCGGTCTTGCACTTCAGCTGATCGTGGATGATCAGCCTTGCACAGATCCTCGCTTCATTTGAACAGAGAACGTGCTACTCTGCATTTACTTACTCGATAATCTATATCAATATAACCTTTTTATCAAAAAAATCAAAAAGAGCCAGAGTCAATTTATAGGGAAAAATTTTAGCGGGATTAAACTACATACAGTTGTTTCAGTAATATTTCAGGTTGCGTACGCAGATTATTCACATACAAATATTTTACTCGAGAGAAGAATCGTAACCAATAATTATTTGAATTATAAATCTTGTATAGAATAATTTCTATTCATCTAGGAACTAACATTAAATATACCTTTCTTCGCTTACTTAAAAAGGTCTTTTTCACCCGTTTCAACTTATTGATCAAGTCTTTTTGCGAAAGTACTAAAAGACACTTGTTATAAAATTCTAGTAGTTGAAAAGATTATCAGACACCACAAAATACACAACATCGTCTTGAAATTCATATGTTACAATTGATAATGTACTGTCTGCATTAAACTATACGCACGGTAGCTAACTAGGCAGTGACAACTGTATATAGTACTGTTCGGAAATTCTTCAAATGTAAAAAAAATTATAACATTTGAGGGCAGTAGAGACCATGGAAACCTTCCAAGTATCACCAGTTCTTACCCGGACGATATGTGAAGATTTACCAATTCATTGCCCCAGTCTAGACAACGATTTTTGTACAGGTGACCGCACAGATTCTTTAAACTGCTTCTGATATTAACATCTAAAAGTGCAGGGCCCAAGAACTTCAGATGTTTAAACTTTTATCGGCAAATTCATGTCTTGCAAATGCAATCCTGTGAAATCACAAACCTAGAAATAGTATTCCGCATCTACTTCAGTTTGATAAGTACCAACTAGAGCGTAAAACGTCAGATTATTCGTTTCTAACATCCAACGGGTATAGACTTATTTTATCCTTTAGCCTTAGTTATCCTTATATCCACAATATCAGTGTAAATATCGATTGTTAAGGATATTTTTATGTAAATTTTTCGTTGATATTCTTCTTTTAAGATGCTCTGTCTCTCTCTCGTCGCTAACACTTCATTTTCCTGAATTCAGTTTTAAAGTTTCACTTCTATCACTTGTACGGTGCTGCAGGCAACAATTTCTTTAAAGATTTTACCGCCGCCCCGTGACCAAAAATGCTGTAATTTATTAGAACCGTCGAGAATTTTAATCTAAATTAAGCGCGATAAAATCAGTAAACATAGTTCCTTTTAATAATTGATAACGTATTATTTCTTTTTTTATATAACTGTAATGGAAACAAAACATGCCTTTTGAAAACTGTAATTTTCATCGAATTATTGTTTAAAAAAGAAAAGCTACTTACATATTAAATTACAAAATAATTCATCCGATACAGCTATAACCGGTGGGAAAAAAAGTTTCTCAAGTGACAGTTTCGTACTGACCATATCAATTTGGGACGACCCCCGTCTAGATGGAATGACGACCTGTGCACTTGAAGTTACTTGAAGAATTGATATTTTAAAAACCTTCAGTCACTTTGCGGCATTATTGCCGACTTACCTCGCGATCATTGGGGATTTCCAATTATACGCTACTCGCCAAAATTTTGAGGTTCATTTTTTTAATAGCATCTATTGTCGAATTTGTATCTTCCAATTACACCACAAAAATTGTTTTTTGTACCCTAATGCATGAGGTGGTAATTGATCATCTATGTTGAAAGATATGCCGTTTAGCATTTGTGCCAAATATTTAGAGTTCTCTTTAGATTATTCTAACAGAACAGGACAGAATAAAATAAAGATAGATTAAATTACCTAGTAACCTACGATGTGAAATACGATGCAAAACACAATTTCACTAAAAATTTTTACTCAAGCAGCTTAAATTAGCGAATCAACAGATTTTTGGCAGATTAACATCTGCTCTTAGTTGCCGATTGTCCTCCGTTTGTTTAACAGTTCTGTCAATACAACTAGATTTAGTTCGAAAAAAATCGAAAAAAGAATTGCATAACCATTGAATTTATAATTTAATATTCACGTTAACTGATAGACATAATTACACATTGGTATATATATATTTCAATTTATGATACTAATATAAATTATATATTTATAAAATAGGGTAATTTTACCCTAAGGTATCATAAATTTAAATATATAATCTATATTAAATCAGTGTGCACAATCAACGAATGAAACACATTTTTAATAATTGGATTTTTGGACAGATTTTAATAATTGGAATCAGTACATTCTTATCGAACTCTCATGTAATGTTAGAAGGCTTGTTCGTTTTACATTTTCACCTCTTTTTGTCAGTAAAAGAGTAACCCAGCTTTTGGGCTCCGATTTTAAACAGTCCAAAAAGTTCGTCACCGACATTGCGCACACCATCAAACAAGTTTTTCGCTGCATTAACACCCTTCTCAATTTCGCCCTTCAAGTCTTTAAAACAATGAAGAAACATTAAAAATACACAAAAATCGTTATAAATGACGTAGTTTGATGTTTAAGAAAATGTATCACAGCCGTGATACAGCGAGCCGTCAGAGTTAACTCGGTCTACCGTCAATAACTTTATTATTAATTTTTCTTCAGCCTATCCCATGACCATTGAAAGATTGAAAGGGTTCGAAACGTCGGAAATTTAAAAATTTAAGTATACGCGATAAAATCCGTAAAATAGTTTCATTTAACACAGTGGAATTATTTAAAAAAGTGAAATTTTAATTTTAATCGCTATCTTCTTACATGAAGGAAAGCATCGTGAGGAAATAATGACAAAAAAAGAATCTCGAAGATATATGAAGTTTGACAATACGCAGCAGGGTTGCGTGGTGGAATATGCCCTAATACACTCTGTACATAGCAGGCGTTTACTCAGTAAAGTAAAGTAGCTGACGTTTATGTATAGGCTGTTACTTTACTTTACTTTAAAGTAACATACGACTCAAAGAGCTACCAAAGAGCTTGCAGGAACGACCATATAAGAATGACAAAAGGTCCAAAATTTAAGTCATATTCAAAATGGTTCAATTTATAGTCAATTAAATTCAACGGTATTTCTTCAAGTCGTCTCATTAATTTAACAAAAATATCTGAGTGCTTATTATTTCATTGAGTAATATTATTAACAAAACGTTTTCAAACCTGATGTATGTACGTACTTATAAATCTATGTAAAACATTAAATAGAGAAGTCCCATCTCTTCTAATTCCTTCATCGTTGGAGGGGAGAGGTGAGGTGTCCATAACTTCATTTCTATCTGTTGTAAAATTAAACCAGTCTACTTTTGCCAATTCGTATAAACCATCATCTGCGTGTGCGTTTTCGTGATCATTACTTGGATAGTTATTTATCTCTTGTTGTAAAACATCCCCTAAGCAAATGTTAAGAATCTGAAAATCAACAAAAAACAATAAAAAAATTAAAATTATCAAAAAAATATAGTTTCCTCTCAGTACTTTGCTAGACTATTACATATATCTCATAACCACGAATAAAATAAAGGAACTTTAAATTATACTTCTACAATAAAAGAAGTACAATAGTCTTGTTACTGTAATGACATGAGGCTTCCTGACATTGTTAATACGTAATACCATAGCTAAATGTATTATAAGTCGTCCAAATAGCCCTTAAGGCTTGCAGAAAATACTGGAAATTCCTTTAAAGTTCCTCAAATTAATAACTGGTCCACTATTCAACGTGCTAGCTTTACCCGTAACCCTATCAACGTTAGCCGCGGAAATTTGCTGCAAATATTTGATAAAACTTTACAAAGTAACGTTTTAAGAAACTTAGTTAAAACGAACTAAAAGCAAAAATTGAAATATGTTATAATTACAGTTAAGTATAATGCAATAACAATCATGATCGCAAACCAAACATGAATGCATTCTTATGAAACGCCTACATTTTGTACGCAAAATTTTCTGCTTTTCAAGTAATTGGTCATACTTTCCGTGACTGTTACGCACATTTTAACCGCTGTGCAAATTAAACAAATAATCAGAAACATTTGTTTAAACGATGCAAAGGTAAAAAATATTAAGGGAATCATTGAGGCTTGTAGGAACTTTGTAACATAATAAGAATACTCCAAAAACACATATGCGTATCGCAGATGCGTAATCTGTACAAGTTATAATTTTTAATTGTTTTCATAATCAAGGTGTGTGATCTCTTTCGAAACTACCGGAGAAGATTAGTACTAGTCCTAATGCGTTTAAGATAAAAATACGGAGAGTAGTTTCTGGATATGTTGCCATATCAATCGCATCGTTAACTACTAGTTTTTTATGTTTTAAATCATTTGTTATATGTAACATAAGATTTAAATGTATATGTGTATATAAAAACATATTAAATCAAGATTAACTATTTATATAATAAAGAGCTTATATTTGCTTGCGGAAAATAATTGAAGGTATAAAATAAAAATAAGAAAACCTATATAAATTCCTTAGTTTAAGCATAAAATAAATTACATAATTCGCATGAAGTTGCACTATTATTTGTTAATAATTTGCTATTATTGTTAAATCAGTAATGATTACTTTTCCATTTTACATTTTCAAATAAACACCCACTTATCCGTAGAGAGTTTTGAAACGTTTGAAAACTTTGCTACTAAGCCTGTGAATGGACTCTAGGTTGCAACTGGAAATCCTTAGAGAAACTTCTTATAAATTCTAGGCGATTTACTTTTTAAATTCACTCTAGTTAAAACTTTTAGCGCGCAAGCTTTCTTAAACTCGCGCCATAAGTTTCATCAAGAAAGCTCGTATTCGAACACTGGATATACGCGTATAAGGAAATTATCGCTCGGAGATTATTTCAAAAGACAATATTCCGCTTGTATACAGGTCTTTAGTATAATTCATTTAATGTACGCTCATCCATAATTATTTTAGATATTATTCTAATCGCTGCCCTAAAATAATCACCTTAGTTACATTGTCAACGTTAACCGAAATGTGCAGCGCATGTTTGAACAAAACCTAACGGACCAAAATAGCCTTCGGTGGCTTTATCTCCTCGTACCCCTAGTTCAAATTGACTGACAATTTCAATAATAACATTAGACCCAAGAATTCGTCTATCTATCGATACTGCATTTAGTCATAAGATCACAATGCCTGCAGAAATGTTTCTTTAACTATAAGTACCTGGAGGATCTAAATAGCATTTAGATACAAATTACTGACTAATAAAAATATGCATAATATTTTTCGATCCTACCGACGTAATAACAAGAAAATATGAACTGGTGTTTTTCACAAAAGAAAGAACTTTAAAAAAAAGGGAAAAAAAGTAACATAATAACAAATCGATAAAAAAATAAAAAATAAAGAAAGTAATGATCTGGAATCGAAAAAAATGTAAAAAAATAAGTGTATTAATGATCGTGATACGAACCGCGGCCGCCCGATTACCGACCGAGCTATTATAACATTTTTTTGCATCAAAATTTACCGTCTTATTCGAATGATATTTTTCATTCCTTGAAAACAGGGATAAAAGGAAATTTTCTAAAAATCGCTGGAGCCGTTTCCGAGATTCCGATTATATCTTAAAATTTTCCAAAACAAAGAATTTTAGAACACCTTTACCTATAAAAGCGTAACGTAAAGTTCATTTGTAAAGGTCACAAAGCATATGAATGGGTTGAATGAATTTAAAAGAGACAAAACATGCTGATTTAAAATGTTTATCATTTTTATACAACATTATTTATGTCTAGAATTTAATAAAAAAAATGGATACACTTAGAAAAACCTCTCTGTATTTCCGTCTGCATATCTAGATCGAAACATATAATAGTACGGTACATTACACTTTAACCAATTAAACCAAATTTGTATCGATTTAAAAAAAAGCCTGCAGGCTGAAAATATGGTGGACGAAACTAATTAACAAGTTCGACGTGACCACACCCGCCGCAAATTTTGATACTAAACTTGCCCGAACTTCATCTATACATAAGTAGCGCTAAATTACGTAAGTATTTACGTGATAGAAGTTGTCTTATACATTTTTTTTTAATGAAACGTGCCAAAATTTACTAACTGCCTAACTGACTAAAGCCTGATTATAACCGACTTCAAAATGAGAGGAGGTTATCAATTCGGATGTTTTTTTATGAATGTTGCGGCATTACTTACATTATCGAGCCACTGAGTTTTAGTGGATCATATAACCCTGTCATGTGAGAAATGACGGGGTATCTTCCACTTCACGCCACGGTCTTCTGTCAGGTCGTGGTACTTCCTCGGATGGACCTGCCCATACGTGCACAGCGAAAACTGTTGCATGGCCCTACCACGACAAATCCAGAAATAAAAGCATAACCCAGAATAATATATATATCTACCTGTGCACTTTAATATAGTGGTGATATGTGTAGGCCAGGAAAAGGACCCATAAGCCTGTTCACTCTTTCCTTGAGAACGTTACCGGGCAGAAAAAAGACCCAATGATTTTTAATAATGTAGATGACGCATGTGCATACTGCGCGGCATTTTAAAATTGTTCCGCTTTACATTATATGACATATATAAGTGAATGTGACAGATGATATAGAACGTATGATATGGAAAGAGATAGCAGTCTATAATATTTTAATCTAATTACACCAATTGGTGTCTCAAATTCAGTGCGCTAATGTCACATATCTTTGTATATAATATCATTGCCGCTACCAATTCTTTTTACTACTTTGTCTTACGCACTACGAACATTAAATTTCGAACACGGGGAACGTCGACAAAAAGGATGAATTGTCGCAGAACTGTAGCTGTCCAACTTATCTGTACGGAACAGATCTAAAAATTAGAAAATGATAGTACTTTTTAGTAATATAGTGATTTATCTAAATAGCACACTTCACAGATTTATAGCAAAACCAATTGCGTTAGCGTTGAAAACGAAACTAAAATCGAAATTACGACACGACATTTCATTGTGAAATAGGAATAGACGTGCAGTATATGTAAGTTGAATTGTGTAATGACTCAATCAGCACTTTTTACTGGTGTAAACTTGTCTCAGCGAGTTCCAGTCATTAATCAATCAGAAAAACACAACTCTCTTAACGCTGATAGGTTACAAATAAGTCCCTTCCTAACATACGACCTATCCATCAATCGATCCACACTGTTCCCACTGCTAAAGGCGTTACGATATTTTAATGTATATATTTCGATTGCAATATTATTTACCATTACCAGACCTCGCCCATTGGTCCGAATTCGACTTAAAAAAATTTAGAAAATTTTCAGAAAACTTCCAATTATTTTAATTGTAATGCTAAATCTAAGTGTTACAATTACAATAATTTGAAAGTGTATTAATCAAGTTTCTCGAGAAAAAAATTAAAAAACAGTTGAAAAAAGTGATGAAATTTAACATCAAAATTTTTGGATTGAAAACGCTTAAACCAAAATTGTGCTACTCTCACAGACACTGCACTTGGTCCATGAACATCTCAATTTTTTTTTTCATGGCTTGCGTTGCATTTTTACCTTTTCGGTAGTAATATTTCAAAATGAATCATTAGAATCACTCATCTTAACAGTAAGAAAAACAAATGAAAATCACACATTTTCCTAATTTGAATTTGGAATTAACTTTTTTAAAATTTAAACTTTTTAATGATACCAAAGCCAGCCAGATATATATAGGTATAGCCAAAGAGATTATATTATAAGTTCATACATACTGTTTGCGAAAAGACTTTTTCCCCAACCTAATATATTTAATTCTACTGTACCTGAGATGACACTGAACTTTTCTTGTATGCGTGTGGGTTATGCTCTGGATGGTTTAGAGTCACAATTCTATTTTTTTTTTTTTTTTCATTTAAAAATCGGATATAGTTGTTAGCGGTGAAGGAAAACATCGTTAGGAAACCTGCATATTTTCGAAATAATAACAAAAAAAATATTTCGAAGATATGTGAACTCCGCCAATCCGCAGTGGGGGCCTCGTGATAGACAAAATCAAAATCAAAATCAAAAATAATATATTTTATATCAAAAATAATAATATATTTATTCACATAGACGCTTGCGCGTTCTTATGAAATGTCAAAAATTTTACATAAAAATTAATACGTTCGTAAGTTACCAACTATGCCCTGATTCCCTCTGTACAGAGGAGGCCTTTGCCCAGCAGTGGGATATGTACAGGCTGATACTATCGGATATAAGTCACAGTAGTGAAGTGTGTACAGGACAACGTCTGCCCGGTCCGCTAGTGTGGAATAAAACTGTTTTGCAACATTATTAACAACTGAAATCTAAACTTGTCACTGAATTAAATGAGAGAAAATCCAACGAACGATAGTGAAAACGCGTGCTAACAAGGCGTTGCGCGATGAAGATTGATCTTAAGACTGGTAAGTGGCCCCACGTGCTCCACTCAGTCCTCACGAGGAATGAAACTTTTCGACCAATTAATAGATGTACTTACTCAGTTGTTGTATTATCAGCAATATTCTCAGTCAGCGTTCATGCAAATTTTTCAAATCATATTATATGATTTGAACAATTTGCATTAGCGTTGCTTTGTAACGCTAACGTGATATGTTAAAAACGTATAATAAATAAAAAGTACAATCAGAAACATTCTGCAACATACAGAATATTTACATTAGAAAGACTTTTTAGGATTTTTATATTTACTACACTAGATGACCACTAATTTCCATCGACAATTTTAAAGTAGACTGTGAAGGAATGTCGAATGGTAAAAACTGTTAAGAATTATCAAAATTATTAAAAATGTAAGATTAGACTAATACTTTTTTTCTTTGATTAAATTTTATACACCTATAGATAAAGACTGCATATAACATATCCGTGAGAGCCG